TAAAAACAAAACTAAATGCTTTTCAGAACTGTTTTTGTTTAGTATGTAGGACGATTATTTATTTATTTTGTTTTTTTTCCAGCCTTTTAGGCACATAAAATTGTATTCTTTATAAAAATATGGCATTTGTAAATCACAAACATCTTATTCCTCGCGTGCTGCCCTGCGTAATTGATGGAATTTTCATAATCTGTCTCTACCAGCGATTCTGAAGTGGATATAAAGTTGCGTGATGTACATGCAAATTATACAGAATCACGAAGAACTTGCGTGTGAGTGGATTTCGTTTGAAGCACGGATTATCAGTGTCACAAAAACTTTCTCTGCCCGTAAGAAGTTGTAAAAACGTGACTCGCGAATTTCTTGCATGTTTCACCTTACGAACTCCTTGCCTGTAAAATGTGAAGCCAGTATATTAAACCCTAATTTCCATAAAATTCGGCGCTATATAAGTAAGCAGTTGATAAGTGTCGTTAAATACGCCATCTTGGTGACCGCTTAGTGGTCATTTTGGACACCTAATTCACTAAGTGCCAATGCTGACGTTAGATTTTTTTATTTATTGAATGTGTGTATACATCTTTTTGGGACATTGTGTGTTATTTAAAAAAAAAATATCACGTTTTATAGTCCTCGAAATATATTACGTTGTTCGTGAGTTGTGAAGAATCTGGTGATACATTATCTTTATTCGGATTTAGCTGTCGTTAAGAACATGGTAGGTGATACGCGATAAGATGATAACGTTGGGACGTCATAGGACAGGTGCGTTGAGGAGGCTGGGTCAGGCATTGGAAATCAGGCAGGCTACGAGGTCGGTTAGTACCTGAGTGGGCGTTTTTCTGGAGGACCTTGGAGAGGCCAGGCAACCCAATTCGCCTGCAGGCAACTGCAGGTGTTTCTACCTTGCATGTTGGATATAGCATAAATACGCCATTGCGTTTATTGAAAAACCATGCCAATGTATTAGAAAATGATACTGAATTAGGCCGACTATTGCAAATAGGACGGTGTGCACCGGGTATTGGTTGGGAAGCCTGAGGGGAAGAGACCTCTGGGGAGACCTAGACGTAGATGGGAGGATAATCTCAGGCGGGATCTATGGGAGACAGGAGTTGAAGGAGATTGGATTTTGTTGGCCCAGGACAGGGTCCGGTGGAGGGCTTTGGTTAATTCGGTGATGAACCTTCGGGTTCCGTAAGCCATCTGGTTGGTTGGGTTCACTATTTGGGAAGCCTGAGGGGAAGAGACCGCTGGGGAGACCTAGACATAGATGGGAGGATAATCTCAGGCGGGATCTGTGGGAGATAGGAGTTGAAGGAGACTGGATTTCGTTGGCCCAGGACAGGGTCCGGTGGAGGGCTTTGGTTAATTCGGTGATGAACCTTCGGGTTCGGTAAGCCATCTAGTTAGTTAGTTAGTTTGAATATTGACTCTGCTGCTTCAGTAGTCGTGTCACAAACACTATACACGAGTCTAATAAAAAAACAGGTCTGCTTTATGTCGGCCAGACGTGTTTACTTTGTTCGTTGTGTTGGTGGCAGGGTGTATCAACTTTTCCGAGAATCTGTCCCGATGCGATTCCTTCCAGAATCCCCCCCCCCCGCTAAGATGGCTGTCCTGCTACTGCCTTCATCATCAGGGCGATGCTCCCTGATGATGGAGGCAGTAAGGACCTCCGAAATGTTGGTAAACTACCGTGAAAATCTCAAATCCTGCTTTTTCCCCGCTGTCTGTTAATTGTGCAGACCGAATGTCGTGGCGTAGTTATTCTGACGGTCGACGGTGGTTATTATCCGAGATTTTCCTGCTAAAATCTCGGAACTCAACAGAAAATACGTCCAAAAAAACACGACGCAAAATTTGAATATTTAAGACCAGGCTGGTTATCTTCTCTCTCTCTCTCTCTCTCTCTCCCCTTCGGGGTCATCTCATTATTCATGCTTTCGTGATTAGTATTTACATTAGAACAGGGCCGAAATATATTCTCACACTTTTACAACTGGTATACTAGGGCCGGGGTGGGGGGAGAGCAAGAGATACAACAGACACGTGACGAGGCCATGCATGACATCACATCTAGCAGGCGGAATGAGAAGAGAACGTTAGGTGCCCTCTGTGACCTTGCATGCAGCTTCACTGACTGGAGCTGGCTCCAGCTCCAGGTCTCTCGCTGAGCTTCCGTTGTCGCGATCCTGAATAATTGACTACGCTTCGTTTAACGACGGACAGACTTGATAATTTTACCGCATTCAGATAAGAAGTGAGTCTTCTCAGTTGGGTAGCTTATTTCAAGGTCATTTTACCTTGGTTTCAAAAAGGAAGGAAGTGGTTGTTTGTTTAGAAATTCCTTTCCAAACGCAGATTTAAAGAATCCGAAATTTTCCATTTCTGTCGGGTTTTTGGTTTAATGTGTTCTCTAGTTTTAAACTGTAAACAAACTGAAAAAAAGTTGGTAACTAGCGGATTAAGAGATCCACATTCCCTGGAATAAGGGCTTTCAGTTCATACTCTCATACAAGAAGGACCTTTGCACGTCGCTTGTCTGTAAACAGGACGAAGTAACGCAGACGTTTTGATGCGTCTGTTACTAGGACCATGGGTTCGAATCCCACTCAAGCCATGGATGTCCGTCCGTGGTTTTCTGTGTACAGGTAGAGGCCTTGCGACGGGCCGATCCCTCGTCCAAGGAGTCCTACCGAATGTCTATAGATCAAAGCCAACGAAAAGTTGGGACCTGCAGTGCTCAGGCACTTGAAGAACCTATAAAGTTGTTCTATGTTTATGAATGTAAAGAAATTCTTTTCAGATATAAAACTTGAAACAAAAAAAAAACAATTTAACGACATCTGCAACAGAAATTATTACCCGCAATACGGACTAGCGCTCAGAAACCTGAAACTGAAAGCACGTGGAATTTTGTTATCTAAAAATCATAGCATATAAATGCTGTAATTACAAGTAATTTCTTCCTGCTGTTTTAACAGCGTAGCCTCCTGTCTGGGAGTGGTTGGTTCCCCTTGGCGTATGTTTGTGGAGTATTCTATTTCTGTAAAAGTTGAATATTTTTGAGTCTTGTTTGTTTATATTTAGCTTTGCACACTCCTACCATTTTTTATCTCCCAGAGGGGCGTTAGGCATGCAACACCGACGTGTTTAATAATAGTACAGTATGAGCGTGTTACTGCCAATGCCTCCTGGGCTGTTTCTACGTAATGGACTGTCCTGGCACATTGACCAGTGTGCAAGTATGACGTCTTATTCCCCGCAGCTCCAGAAATTGCAAATATTACGAACACAGCGAGAGCCAAGGACTTAGGAATAATATATTTATCCGACAACATAATCTTCTTTAACCGAGGGAAGCTAGCGGTGGACCGCGATTCGCGGGTCTGGGATTCAGTCTCGTTCAGCACTTCGTTTCGGAATGTACCAGGAAGGTCCTAAGAGTGGACATCTCGACATACATAATTAAAAAAGTAATTCCTTCCCGTGGATGCGACCAAGTCACGAGTTTCCATACTTTTCTTAATAAATTTATGAAACAACCAAGATGTGTCTTAAAAAGATTTGAGGAGGCAGAACTGAGTAGAAAGACACCAACCAGACGGGATTCGAACCCGTATCTCCTGTTGATTGCTGCTGATACTTTGTCTTTTTATCACTTGAAGTGAGTTCTTGATAGGCATAATCGGACGCTTCATTCCACAAGGTAATTTTTGTGACGAGCTGTGCCCAGAAATGTACTGACTTTATTTGACATTTCAATGCTGTATACACACATGCAGAACACGCGCATGGCTTTAACGGTAAAAAAATATGAACGACCCTACAATGACAATCCATCTCATGCCAAGAAAAGGTCGCTTGATACTATTAGTACCCAAAAAACGTAGTTTCGCGTTGATAAGGTATTGTGTTTAGCACCGGGGTGCGAGGAGGTTAGATGCGCGCCATTGGTTGCGCCGACTGCCTGCGTGATTTGCGTGATATTCTGTATGTCTATGCGCAGAGTAATATTCCTTATGACTGCGCAGAGTAAGAGAGGACAACAGCGGTTTTTTTTTTGGAACGGAGGGGAAAGGGGGGTAGTCAGTCAGGCAACAGTCCATGGAGACGGAGGGGGCAGTTGTGTTCTGAAGGTAGACCTGTGTTAGTCTGTTACAAGGTGCTTTGGTGAGTAGTGCGCTGTGTGAACAGGTCTACATTCTAGTGACGTGGATTGTTATAAAAGAACTTGTTAAGTCTACAGTGGACGTGACGTCTAGGGAAAGGAATGCAGGCCAACAGGTTAATTTACTTGCGTATTATAGAACGATAATATTTTGTCTTTTTTCGTGTTTGACATACTGTGACAGTGTTGGTGTGCTAAGAGAGGTTATAAACACTAAAGCAGTGATTGATTTGTATGTAGCGTTTGGAATTTTTTTGTTTTTGGGGGGAGTTTAAAAAATTAATGGTTAAAATGTCTGTGATGCAAATGGGTAAAAGGCAGCACTGTTATCTGTGCGACTTACCTCGCATGCCTTGGGCTATGTTACACGATTTCTCTGAAGCTGTGTGTCGAGGTTGTGTGAACTACGAGGGTGCGGACCGCATCGAATTAGTTTTGGACACGGCCCGACAGATGAAACGAGCCCATGGCTTTCAAGAATCGAGGAGCACTTCTGGTTCTAAACCCC